TGTAACTATGCAAAATCGAGTCGAAGTTTGGGAAGAAACCTACTCGCATCTAGACGCATGAATAGTGCGGTTGAACGCACCATAATCGCTTAAAACAAAAAGTATAATGTGTCCAGAAGCATGTTTCTTGAGTCCGAGCATGTGTCAGAAGTCAAGATGACTTACAACTCATCTCCAACCCTAATTTGGTTTGTATAACTATATATATGCTCCAACCCCTTAACAAGGAGGGGAAACATACATTGTAAATTAGATTTAAAGCCTCCAACCCTCCTTATTCTTCTTTTTTCTTTGTGTTCTTGTCATAGATTCCTAAATCCCCAACTAAGATAGGGGTGATTCTTTCAATAAAACACAATATTTATTTTTAACAAAGCTTTCAAAAAAAAAAGCAACATATTAAAAATAAATATTGTATTTTATTGAAAGAATCACTCCTAACTTTAGTTGGAGATTTAACAATATATGCACAGACATAAATACAAAGAAAGAAGAAGAAGAAAAATGATTGGAGGCTCTAAATCTAACTTACAATGTATTTTTCCTTTTCCTTAAGGGTTTGGGGCATATATATAGTTGTACAAACTAAATTATAGATGGAGAGCTAAAAAATACGAGTTGTAAGTCATCTTGACTTCCAAACCCGGACGCACTAAAACTTTTTGTTTCAAGCAATTGAAGCGCAGTTGTACGCACTATTCGTGCGTCCGGACATGTGTAAGCTTTTGCCCAAACTTCGAGTTCAATTTTGACACAGTTAGAAGTCGATTTATGAAAATTTCATGAAATATACTTTTGTAGACATTGAAGTCTTCTTTCCAATGTCACAAGTATGACTAGACTATTCTTATGTAGATTTAGTGGATAAGCTCTCAGTGTTGGATAGGCATTCGGATTGGAACAACTATTCTAAGAGCGTTCTGAATACAACCATATCATGTCAATCAAACATCTAGATAAAAAGTAATGACCAAAAATACCAAAATAGTGTCAAATTCTTTCCAAAATGTGTTTAAGTTTCAAAATAGCTCCAAACTTTCTTTTCTTCAACTCCAAACCTCTAAGGTCATCGTGAGTGACCTTGGAACCCTTGAAATTCACCGTGAATCACTAATATCTCAATGAATAACCATTTTTCATCTCCTAAAAAACAAAGTACTATAATAAGTACATTTTTTATCGATTACATCCTATCAAGCTCAAATGATATCAAAATCGAACACATGAAAGAAAAATATTACTCTCATGAAAGGAATGATAAAACTAGGAAGCTTGAATATTACTACACTCTCATCTTTATTCTTTCACTTTAACTTCTAAACCATAATGCCGCTAAGATCAATGTAGGAATTTAAAAATGGGACGAAACCTTAGGCTTGCGAGATGGGGTAACGAAGAAAAGATAAGGATAAATCAAAAAAATTGCTTGAGAATAGCTAGAGAATATAGCGAACAACACTCAGGCCTTGTTTGGATAGATTTTTTGGGAAGGTTTGGATTGGCTTTCCTAAATTCTTCCAAATTCAAACGCTTCTTTACAAAGATTAGATTCAACATTGAATCTGGTACACACTCATGTTTAGCATACAACACATACACATATATGACTCATGGATATATCATAATTATTAACAATTATTTATCCTGTAAATGATTATTTTATCCTTGATTAATCTAATTCATACACATATTAAGGGGTACAATTATCTTTTGCATCCTTAACCCCTTAACCCATCTTTTCAAACCCATCCCCCTAGGTTTGACGAAACTCATGATCATGAGTTTATATTTGGGCCAACAACGGGCGGTGTTTAAGAACCTAGAATTGAATTTTCAATCCAAATATGGAGTTTGGGGGTCCTTTGAACTATTTTCCCCGAACGCATATTGCCAAACCCCCTCCCCCCTTACCCCTTTACCGAATAAGAATTTTGGGGAAGGGTTTGGATTGGTTTTCCCAAACCCTTTCAAACTCAAACCTCTTTTTACAAAGATGGGATTCAACATTCAATCCGGTTCATACTCATGTTTAGTTTGCAACACACATACACATGTAGGACTCATGGATATATCATAATTATTAACAACTATTTGTCTTGTAAATGACTATTTTACCCTTGATCAATTCAATTCATACCCATGTTAAGGAGTGCAATTGTCTTTTGGATCCTCAAATGTTTACCCATCTTCTCAAACCCACCCCCTCCCTAGGTTTGACAAAACTTAGGATCATGAGTTTAATCTTCGGACAAGCTACGGGTTGGGTTTGAAAATCAATGACTGAATTTTTCATACAAACATGAGATTTGGGGATCCTTTTGACTATTTTTTTCAAACTCATCTTGTCAAACCTCCCATACCCCCTTACCAAACAACCCCTTAAGGTCTGTTTGGTATGTGGGTTTGGGGGTATTTTAGAACATGGGTTGGGGAACAAAATTCAACAAAGTCATGTTTGGCAAATACATAGCTAGCCTAGAGTTTGAAACTTAGCCCGCTTTAGGCCCGAAAATTAAACCCAAGTTCATGGGTTTCATGAAATCCGGTGGGGGGTGGGTTAAAGGGTTGAACATGCAAATGACATTTATACCCCAATATATCTCATATATCCTTTAGATTAGATTGGTTAAGGGGCACAATAGTCATTTAAATATAAATATATTATCATCATAGGGATATATTTGTGCGCATACCAAACATGGGTATAAACCGAATTGAATATTAAATCTCATCTTTATAAAGAGGAGTTTGTGTTTGAAAGGGTTTGGACAAGTCAATCCAAATCCCTCCCAACAAACCAACCAAACAGCCCCTTAGGGCATTGTTTTCAAACTTTATGTCACATATCATTGTTTCATATGTTTTTTTTCCCCTAACCCTCAATGTTTTCTTTTTGAATGGTCTACTCTTCTTCTTTTTTTCTTTTCTTTTTTTCTTTTTTTTTTTCATTCTTTGAGCAACGCCTCTTTTCTTGAATGGAAATTGCATTATTCTCTCACAAAACTCGAGGCTTTCTTGATAACCATGTTGCTCAATCTTCTATCCATATCGTGTGTTTTTCTTGTGTTAAATTAAAGTCAAATATAAGATCAAGCTTCTGCATTTTTCCCACCATCCGAGAAATGGAGCCATCCTTAGGACATGGTAAGGGGGTAAGTTATCGACTTAGAGATATGACTCTGTTTGGAATATTAAATTGGGTTAAGAAATGAAAGGGTATTCTGAAAAAGGGGTGGGGTGGGGTGGAAGGGTTGATTTCAGGCAGTGGTTCGTAGGTGATGAGGTTTTGTTTCTATGGTTACACATTACAGTTCTGAATATTGTAAAAAGCATTCTATTCACAATCTTCTAAGAATGAAAGGGGTTAAGTTTGCTATGGAGAGTATCAGAAGTCGGATAATCTGGACCAGAATAAACTAAACTGATGCTACTACTATTGTAAAATTTTCCAAATAATATAAACAGTTGGTATTATTTTAGTGGGTTTTTTCAATGGAGTAATGATAATTTTAATGAAAAGTTGTGAAAAATCTTAAAAGTGAATCTCACATTAGAAAGTGAGAAGAAAATGCATGCATTTATTAATAGACACCTATCACATGGTATTACTTTAGTGTTAAGAATGCTAATATGCATGAGAGTGTACACTAGAATGGTCTACTCATCAGTTGTGTGAGCAGTAGAGTGCATTGTGGCGCTTTATAGGCGCACTTGACACGTAAGCATCGTCATAAAGAGAGATTAGATCATGATCATTGATTTTTTAATTATTTTCAATTGAACGATCGATTATACATATACATACGATCGGATAGTAGATTTCATGTCTGATTATTTGAGTGTGATCCATGATCATATTACATACAATATTACTCGTTCAATTTCTTGCAATATCTCTCTCCCAAGAGCTTAACCTTCTTCTATTTATTATTATTTTCATTTCTTCTTGCTAGAATATGTTTTTCTACAGAAATAGAGTTCGAGTGTCTTGGTAAATTAGAGGAATATGAAGGCATTCTAGTTTGACTTCGTTTGTGCATTACACAATCAAACACCATATTTGATTCTGGACTTCACTGTATTCTTGAGACAAATTCGATATAACTTGGTGCACACTGATTTACTAGAATTGATAAGAGCAAATGTTATCTTAAGAAAAACGACTCAATAACGCGATTTGAGGCATATTCAACAGTCTTTACCACAAAACTACTACACCAACAAATATTGGTTTGAATTTCTTTGTTTCTTCATGGTAAAATAAAGTCTTGTTAATCATATAACCGACCGACTTATTCTTCCAAGTGCAGGCTAATTCAAGGGGATTGTGTTCATAACAACTACTACTACTAGTAGACACTTACCTAGCCACTCTTATATTTAGCTCTACCCAATCTTTTTGAATTTTCCTAACATTCCCCACTTGTCCGATAATTGTTGAGCTATTTTTGGATATCAAACAACCTCCCCAGGAGGTAATTTTAATGTGACATTCCCCCACTTTTGCAAGTAGCTTCACTACAGCATCTACTGCTCTGGCTAAATATCCACCGTTCCCACGTGTGATTGTATATATAGTTGTGCCTAACGGCATATCAGTTAAAGTAGATTTTTTTTTTTTTAATAAATCACCCCCTCCTTCGGATAAAAAGTAAAAAAGAGAAAGTAATAGATAACGAATATAACAAAAGGTTCTAGGGGGGCTACTCCCAACCACAAAACATTCATCCTCCATTACATTTCTACACTATTCCCACTAACTAACATGTAAAATTATGTACTCTAACACCATCCCACCCCATCTCGTTTGAAGTTCCTCTATCTATCCACACAAGATTTTTCTTTGTTCGTAGAGAAACAGGACAACTCTGCTAGTAAACAATTTAGAATCAAAGCATGGCCAGACTTGGTTCAAATTTTTCATTAAGGCATGGCAAACAAAGCATCTTTAATATTGTGTATCTGAATCTTTCTATAAAAAAAATTAAAAAATAAAAATTACGCAACCAAACAGGCTTTATACTAACGGTTGTCTTGTGCAAAGCATGCACATCAACCACAATATATATACTACAATCAATATCCACTCCGGTAGTGCCCCAGGGGCTACAGATTCAGCGATCATGGGAAAACAGGAAGGTTCTTGAGAAAAATTCAGCTAGATTATTGGCAATGGTGACAAGCTGAATTGACTCAAAAACACAGAAGCATAACGAGTAACAGGCTACTTCAATAAAGTACAACAATTTATTCACCAAATTCACTTACACCTTACATAAAGTTACAGAAGACAATGTTGCTCTGTCGATTATTTTGAGGATTTGGCAGAAGAAAAGTATGTATAGCTGCTTATGATAGACACCAACTAATGCTGCATTTTTTACATCTTTGACCATATACGACTCAGGCTTGCCTCAATGGATCCATGTGGTTCATCTGTTGGAAGATATACATCATCTTCAAACTGCAAAAATCACAAAAGGCGGCATCATCTATCAAGTAATCATTTCAAGCTCAGACGTGAAGGTAAATGTAAACAAATATGCCACATAGAATCTCAGTGAAGAGTCACAGTATTATCACTTGTAGAATGTTAAATGTAACCACTTTGATCAATAAAAACTGACCCACCCAAGTTAGATCCACACTGCACTGCCCATACCCCCATCTAACCATATTTCAAAAGAATTACGCACAGACAGCCTATAGAAGAAACATGAATGGTTCTCTCCACAAGCACTATTACTGTAACGATGAAGAACAGTTGATTCTGTAATGATAGCTTAGCAAAGCATAACAGGGCCTTCACCATAGTATTGATATATGCGGGTGGGAGAAAGGGAATCACCTTTTCTATATATTCTTAACTAACAATATTCTGGTCTAACCAGAAAAGAACTATCAGCTGAAGTAATTCCATGTCCAAAAGAAGTTAGCTGACTTAAAACATAAAAACTAATAGTTTTTTAAAGAGATCACAGCCCCCAAACAATGATAAGACTGCTTACCAACCTCCCCAAACCTCAGTGTGTCTAGAGCCTCGTGCACTAGACTGCCCTTTAGGTTAGGTAACAGCATGGGAAGAAAAACAAACGAAAAAGGGAACAAAATCTCTCTAAGAAATAACATGGTCAGAGTAGACAACCAACCCTTGCCCCGCACAAGTAATTCAGCAATATTCACCAGATGGGTATCAACAACTTGTTTCATAGTAATTGCAGTAAAACATAAATTGAAACTACCAAGTTTTTCAATCCTCTTTTGTGGCAGTTTCAGTTTCTGTATTGAACAGTTGAAATTTCTATTACAAAGTTCACCAACCAATTTTCCAACCCCCACCAGAAAAAAAAAAAAAAAAAAGCCTCCATTCAACTTGAAAGTAAAAATATCAAGTTCCCTGCACAATCAACATATCATTTCATGTTGTTTAAATTAAGGATTTCAATACTTTTAAAAAGTTCTGCCCAAATTTTACACAGAACTGATTTTGCTCCTTTCCTTTCTTATCCTTCGACTAGACTGTTTCGTTTTGTTGCCTCAGATTAAAATAAGAAAAGAATAATCCTACCTTAACAATAACTGGATTATCTTTGCTCGACAGATTAACTGGTAGGAAATGGAGATTTGGCATTTTCAGTTGAATTGATGATATGTCAGGAAACCTGAAATCATGACATTCAGGAGTCAAAGTCCAGAACAGATACATTAAAAAATCAAAACAGGTGGCATGGTCTAGGTGTAGTGGTGTGAGAAGTGAGCACGCAAACGGGTATTGCAGTGGCCGCATGGGCATGTGAGCCCACAGAGAGAGAGAGAGAGAGAGAGAGAGGGACCTGCCAAGAACAGCCTTTGCCATGTGATAAAGAGTGCTTTGAACAGATGCGCTGTACACTCCCTCTTTTGGAGGACCAAAGAAAGTGTCAATCAAAACCTTTTTCACATCTATATATCGCTCGGTGAAGTAAAGTGGTTTTGCTGGAATGCTCGAGAGGGATTCAAACGGGTACCTGCATCAGCATTAATGTCTCCCATAGCATGCCCCCAGATTCCTCAAAATCCAGAATATAAATATGCCAAGACTAACCCTAAACCTCCTTATAATCTCGAAACCAGTAGAAACTCAAATACCTTTATGATGCACATACTTTTCAACGTCAAAGCGCATAATATACCTCCAGGATGCAGAGACCTCTGTCGCCAACATCCTCTCTCGTGTTTCAGGCAAAATAGTGTTTTTGTCCCTTATGAATCCTTCAAAACCTGACTGCCATTAAGTAAACTCCATCATAAGATACCAACAAGCAACAATGATGCATAAAATGCATATGCAACCTAAACATTTCATATTTTGGTAACTATAGTAGCATTGATAGAAATGCCTAATCACATCTTTTTTTTGGTAGGTACCTAATGACATATTGACTTCTACAATCATAGTGAAATTATAAATCACCACAACCTCCACCAAAAAAAAAAAAAAGAAAAACCAAAAAAAAAACAAAAAAGAATCGGAAAAATAAAAGAGAGAACAGGAAAGTAATCTCCATGACTAACCACAGGTACAGCAACACAACTGTTTTAGTCTTTTATAGACTTCATTTGAAAAAGAACAAGACCAGAAGAAAGACGGAGATTAAGATGGAAGGGAAGAGAGTGTGCATTGTGTGGTGCATATAATATATATATATATATGTACAGAGAGAGAGAGAGAGAGAGAGAGAGGACTTTAGATACTGCAACATCTTCAATTTCTCTACGCTAAACAGCTGCCACTTACTACATGTACTAGTTATGTAAGCCATAAAAACCAGGAGCTACTTTCGAAAGAGCTTGGCCCTCAAAAGGAGGTTGCTTCTACATTATGCTAAAAATAGACAATCTACTAAACAATGTTGAATCAATTGCCGTTCTCAAAACTTGCGATTCAACAGTTCAAGCATACACATGACTCTTACGCTGCCCATAAATGAAGAAACAGAAATATGATACCTACTTGGTGAGTAGCAGCTCTTAGTCATGTTAAAAATGAGATTATCTTACTTTGGTTGTCTTCAGCAATGACAATCCTTCAATGCCAGATGACACCAGCAAAGCACCCGATTTCTTTACTGCAACTTCTGTCGTATGCTTCTCAGACCCCAGTTTAAAACCTAAAACAGAAAATATAGTCAGCAAGCTAAGGAATACTTTGGTCACTGCTTCAGCAAAGGTTTTAGTTGGGAGCCAAAGCATGAAGCCATAAATGACTAGCATGTAATTGTAGTTACCTTTCAATAAAGAAAAAGAAAATTAGTGTGGATTCAAAAAAAAATCTATGACATCAAAGAAATTATGTAGGGGAAGATGGAAGAGAATAGAGAGTTAAGATAAAAGAGAATAGAAAGTTAGACATTCAAGCGGCTCTTCCCAAGAAAGTTCGGATCTTGATGATTCCCTTCCATAACAGAAGTGATTAAAAATACTAACCATGCCCATGTGGTTGACCGTCTATACATACACGCTCCCATGGCTTTTCCACTATCTTGATGATAGCAGTGGTTACCTAAAGAAAAGTAATGAGCTATATGAGCCATTATTAAGGACACCAAAATTTTGCTTGCTTAGTATCTAATAAACCACCTCTACATGGTTGCTCATGTGCCTCAAACTATAGCTCCAGGTTTTAGCACAGTTTTGTCCATAACAAACAGGCAAATGAACAAGGGCACTTTTGTCTAAGTTGTTAATGCAAGAATTACCTTTTCTTCTTTTAACTAACTATTGATGACAATTGGACTTCTTAATCCACCCAACCCATGATGCGATTCAAACCCTGAAAACCTCCCCTTAGTGGCCCCCATTTATTAGGAGGCCATGGCACCAGTTGCCATAACTAACTTGGAAAAGTACTTCAACAAGAATTTTAATCCTGCACAAGTGGTTATATTGCTATTGACAATTTTTTTGTAATTCAAATATTGTCTCCCCCCAACCCCCTTTCTTTAATATTTCCATGTACTTCTACAGACAATAACAAATCTAAAAAAAATTAAGTAATATACTAACCTTAATATTCCCAAATTCCACATGTCAAAGCTCTCTCACCCGAAAAAAAGAAGAATCAAAACACTGATTTTCAAAATCAGGCTTCATGTAAGCATCACTAGAGTTGCCAATTAAGATAGCTTCTTGTGAGCAGTTTAGATCAGCTAGCTAACAGTTAATTTTAGCTCCTTTCAACATTAATGAGACACAAGAACAAGCTTCTGTCAAAAGCTGGATGCCGAGCCAATCAAGTCTAAAAATCATTTGTTGACAAGTTTCGGCCTAAACAAGGTATGAACAGAGTTAAAGAACTGGAACTAGAGCCCTGAACAGCCCATCTTAAGCTCAGTAACTTTATAGAATACCAGACAGAAGTCCAACATGTGACAGCGGCAATCATGTTAAGCCTTAAATAGGAAATTAACATTGTTTGAACAACAATGATATGGACTTCTGGTACAGTTTTCAGTTTTTGATAACAATTAAAGATTATGGGCAAGCGTTTGACTTCTAAAAAAACTCGGGAAAGCCTAGGTTTGTTTCGGGTTTACAAGTGTATGCTGCAGTGGGGAGAAATTGGTCATATGAGCCAGAATCACCCACAATTACTCAAATTCTTTTAGAAAATGGTTAAACTTATTCAAATTTGATTCTGCCTCTGTATGGAAACTTAAATCCACAAGTAAAATGTGTATATAGCGATGCTATAGATGCTGGAGAGATCAATGCAGAAACTGAAGTACCCTCTACTCTAAATTATGTGTCACAATAATATCTATTGTGACTTGTGAGGCGGTATCAATAATCAAAATTTTGTTTCGGTGCATTGTTTCAATCACCTAAAGGAAATGTTTCAACGTATTTCGAAAACGTTTCAATCCGTTTCGAAAACATAATGGAAAAAAAAAAATTAAGAATTATTTTTCCAAAACACTGTTCAAAATATCTTGAAATATATTGAATCATTCCAAAACAATTCTACAAAATACATTGAAACATTACTAAATACTTCGAAACATTATGAAACACATCGAAGTATTATAATTTCGATTCAATCACTGATTCGTTTTGGTCTCAGAAACATTTCAGACGTTTCGAAACGAAATTTAGAACCTTCAGCGGTATTGAATCAATTTGTGATAGAATTACCTGCTGATAAAAGGATGTAAAGTGCTTGGCAAGTCCAATAGCAAAGTCCTCCACGGAAAGTTGTTCCGAACATTCCTTGGCTTTAACATATACCTGTTTTCCAGCCCAAAGAGCCATTAGATTCTAATAGAGAATACAAGGGAAATGAGAATGACATGAGATAAAACGACGTCATACAATTTTCTTGGACAGGTATGCCAAATTTTATATTGCAGATCATGCCAACATTAACTAATTTAATGCTTCTTTCTCCTTCAATACAGAATGCTATAAAATGTTCTCAGTGAACTAGATTGCTTCTTTGAGTATAGTACACTTGTTAGAGTTTCAAAGAACCATTTTGCTTTCTTCTACTTGACGTCAGTCTTTTGCATAGAACATTTCCCTCTACAAAACAGATCACTACTACACAATTTTTTCCTAATTGCAAAGCACTATATTTCATTTCGTAGTGTAATTAATCTAAAAATAATGAGCTTCAAACCTCGTCCCAGAAGTTACAAAACCCAAAAACCAGGCACCATAAAGCAACCATTGATGTCGTTTTCCATACTCCCGTAGTATTGTGAAGTATGTATTGCATCAAGGGATGCTACATTATGTAAGGAAACATTTATAGCACTATACATGCATTTACTAGACCTTGATATTTCATGGAAAGGTAGTATCGTATCATGCATGGGCTTGGCATTAGATCCTCATTAAAGGTCTAAATTTATATCAAGGGCTTTGACTGAGTTGTATTGGAAGGAGTAGACTGGGTACATATCGTGCCCTGGCATGAGCCACTACCCAGAATATTTGCATAATGGATGAGCTGGATAAAATGCTCAAGTTTAACTTACTTTTGTTACAAGATGATCATATAGAATGGTCAAGGTCTCCATATTAGGTGCTGTTAACAAGTACATTTCAGTTTCTATTCATGTAACAAGTACTTTCTTAAAATTAAAAATCAACCCATTGTGTGCCATCATCACTCATTGGGCAAGTAGGAAGACGTAAAGTAGAAAGAAGTAAGGAATAGGAGGAAATGGCACCAAAACAAAATCTAAGCCTTAAAAATTATTACAAAGCATTTCCTCTCCAAAAGATGGCCAATGCGTAGGTATCACCCTAATCACAGCTTACGGCACCTTACCTCGTTATATGACGAAAAAATAAAACGAGAAGTTCCACTGCATTTTAGGCAGGGTTGAGCTAGGCAAAGGTTAAGTTGAACCCCAAATCAACTTTCTTTCCCAGTGGAATAAGCAAAAACATATATAAGAAACATCTATAAAAAAATCCGATCTTCTAGAAGACAGATAAATGTCATTGACCAACAGTAAGACTTGAACCCAAATTTTATCACAATAGAATGTCTTCATTTTTTTTTAGCTTCAAATTGAATTACAGGCTTTAAATTTTATATTTATTTTTCAATTGATATTTGAAAATTTTCAGCATAAGAATTTATAAACATGACATGACATCCAAGAGTGAGGTTAGTAGTTCTATTCTTCTGGTTGACCAAAACAAAAAGGAAAAGTTAAAGAGCCTACTTAATGACTTAACTTGTTTTTTGAACTTGGTGGGTAATTATGTACTGTAGAAATGGGGAAACACGACATGCATTTTAATTTCAAGGCAGGTTAAGCTAGACATTCCTCAAGCATCTCCATGCCCGAAGTTAACTTTGAGGCCTGAAGTTTGGATCTAGTGTAGGTTATCCAAAGCTCAAACCAAGATCAACCTGATTTAAGCCTAACGGGAAAGTTTTAATCTAGTACTAACTAATTGAAAATCCTACATCGACATACATGACAAAGTGTCATCTTATGCCAAACAAACACAACCACCATCACTGTTAACTAATTACACTACATGTCATGGATGACCATGTCTTCAAACAAGGAAATGAGTGGCAAATTTAAGAAAGACAATCAGGTCAAGTTTTGGAGAGTTTGAGTACTAACCCAACTTCCGATCATGCCCCCACTCTCAATGGTGAATAAAACTTTCATATGAGTTGAAAAGGATTTGTAGTAACGATTCAGATATCATCTCAATGTGATTTCTAATTTAAACATACACAACCTTAATTGTACTTGAAACTATCATTTTCGCGTAATTTTAAACATCTTTTTGGCATGAATATCTAAGGTACCATCTAAGTAACTTTTCCAACTTTTTATATAAAACCAAAAGTCAAAAGTAGAAAATGTTTGATAGAACCTTAAAAAATTTATTTTAATCATATAATTGCCTTATAAAGACGATGGGCTATTTACATTCTTCACCCTTTAACTTTGCATCAATTTGCACTTTAGTTTCCAATCTTTCGATCGTGCACCATTGGCAGTCAAACTTTCAAATTTGAGAAGTTGGCCATCAATTTGGGCTCTTTAAACTCTATCTTTCATTTTTAATTGCATCCCTCAGTTCCAGAATTTGTAAATTTTAGTCAAGTTCAACCATCCCCCATTAAGCTCATTGATCCAGTGAATTTAAGGATGAATGATTGAAATCAATCAAAAATGACAAAATTTGAACTAAGAGTATCCTGACCCAATCATACCACTTATGAAGGAACATATGATTATAAGTCGGGGTAAATAACATATACATAAGCAAACACACAAAAATCCTATAGTTGTATATAGATTTGCATCCAAGTTAAGTGAAGGTATAGAAAAACTATTTCACATATGATCGTCAACATATAAATGAAATCATATGAGAACCTGAGCAAGTAGGCATATATAATTGCATATTTCATAACAAAAAAGAAGAGAATTTTACAGTGTTTTTCATGGTATCGGTGGCGACGATATCGGAATTGTCGCCGCGAACATAGGCAGGTAAGCAATCAGAGAGGAGGCTGATGCTGACGTTCCATTCGACGAAGAAATGGCGACCATTTTCGTCTTTCCAAACCCTAGCGACCCTCACCCTCGCCTTTCCATGCCTCTGCTCGAACCTCAAGCCTTCGACTTCGTCTGCCATGTCCAGTCTGGTCTATCCTGGTTTTGCGGTGTCTATGCGGAAGTATATATAATGGACTACTGCTCCACTCTCTACAGCGAGAGAATATTTTAATGTAACAGACAAAGCCAGAGAAATTTCATGTTACTTTTCCGTTGTACCAAAAAATAAAAAAATAAAGAGAGAGAGAGAGAGAGATTTCCTGCTTAGTGACACTTTACTTAGAAATTTTTAAATTTTTCTTTCAATTAATAAAAATAAAATAACACATTTAAATTTCTTTTCCGATGTAAAAAAGAAATTTCATGCTTAGTGTAGTGACACTTTACTTAGAAATTTTTAAATTGTTCTTTCAATTAATAAAAATAAAATAATATATTTAAATTTACTATAATATATTTAATACTTAAATATTCATAAAATAAAAAAAAAAATATCGATATAATATATACAAATAAATAAATAAGAAGAGGTTAATTATAAACTTTTACAACAAATGAGACTAACTGTATAACTATTGTCGTTCTCTATAAAGTCAATCAAATTATTAGTTATTGATCACTTTTTCAATTATGCAACCTAAAATTTTATTCTATAACTTAAAAAATGAGTTTCACATGTCAAAAATTTATTTAAATGTATTTAGAAAGTGTGTTCCAAAGTTTAAAGTTATTTAGGTATGAAACAATACTAATTGATAGAAAATGATAAAGTGTGCTCATTTAAATATATTTACAATTATTTAGAAAATATACATAAGTAATATTTTTTGAAAAAAATTTCAAGGTGGGCTTGTGCTCCTAGGTCCTCAATGACTTCTCCCATGACGGTAATGTCATGGCATCACGGGATTCAAATCATCTCCAATATTTTTTTTTCCAATTCTTTTTTGGATGAATCAGTCACCATTGATAAGTTTAAAATTTACTTGTACACAATGAAACATTTGAATATATTTTAGATGATTCAACAGGAAATGAAGTAAAGAGGTCAACAAGTGGTGCCACTATTTAATAAAAAATAATTAAATAGATAAATTGATTTTTTACTTCTTTACGTGAATTTGTTATTGTATTACATGGATAAAGTAATATTTTTTCTTTTTTTTTTTTTCTGTGTGTTTTCTTCGCGAAGTTTGAGGGGGGCGAGGTTAAATAATTGCAGAGGAATTAAATTTGAGGGGCACCGTGTACTTTAATATACTAAGATTAAAGGTGTCAATCAATTTGTGTCTATGTTTTTATTTTTTAAATAGTATTATTGTTATTCATATCATGTGTGTCAATACCCATGAATTTATATTTTTTTTAATTTGTTACAAGTGTCAAACAATAATCCAACCTAATTATTATACGTATTATTTATTAATTGTGTCAATTAGAGTCATGTGAGATTCTTTCCATGCTCGCGTTAATAGGTCCATTGAAGAAAAAATATTAGGTATAATAATGACATCACGTCATTATTATTTCGTGATAACACCATCCAATAATAAATGACAAATAAACAGGTGGATTTCATATATTATGGTAACTACCCCGCCATATCATTTAATATCCACCCATTGAAATTTATCTTATTCATTTGTAGGTTTATTATTGAATAGTGACATCACATATCAATAATGAGACAATTTTACCTTTACACCCAATATTTACTCCAAATTGACACCCCTAAAAGAGTTTGGTGGGACTATTCTCACCCCACAAATATATATTCTCACCTCATTAAACTTTTTTTAATCAAAGTATTAAATCTATCCCTTCTATATCAACCTCCATTTTAACTAAGAACATCATATCATACATACACCCATTTAATAACAAGCCTACTTTCTGTCTTCTCATACTAAATCTGCCCCTTCTATATCTACATCCATTTTGTGTAGGGTGTATGAGAGTAGATACTAAATGAAACCCTAGTTTTGACTTTTGAGAAGATAGAAGGTGGATTTATTATTAAGGGGGTGTGTATATAAGATGGGGTGAATTTAGTTAAAAAAAATGATGAGTATAGAAGGGATAGACTTATTAGTTTGATTATAAAAATTTTAATGGGATATAAAGGGTTATTTATGGGGTGGAATAATCCCACCCAAAGAGTTTTTTTCTGCCATGTTAAGTCAGGTAGACAAAGCATAGAAAGATGTTTGATTCAGTCTTAAACAAACCAGCCCACAGGTTCTCTAATATGGAACAAAAACCCGATTACTATGGGCGGAATACCTCAACTAACAGAATTTCCTATTTTCTTTTCTTTACTTTTTTTCTTTATGTGATGAGAAATTACTTAAAAAAATAGGACCATAGCATTTATGTGTATAGGATAAATTATCTATACCTTAATCATATGTTAATCACATATCCATCAAATTCGAAAGTTATCCGCAAGAGTCAAAACCTAGATGTCTAGATTTAAGTCAATCATATACCATCAAACTATCCACGCAAATATATAGTATTTCCAGTTTTAATTTTTAGCACAAGGTTTGACAATTAGGTTGGTTTGATGTCTATATTTAAGTCAATCATATACCGTCAAACTATCTACGCAAAATAGATAGTATTTCCAGTTTTAATTTTTAGCACAAGGTTTGACAATTAGGTTGGTTCAATGACGTGAGTTTCACCTAAAAGTTGTAAGAACAAATTTTTTCAAAACCTTGAGATCATTTTGTGGATTTATCTCGAAGACTGGCGGAAATATATGTATCTAGAAGAAGGAGATCAATATTCTAATAAACTCAAATATTTCCTAGTTAGCAAAAACAAAAATTCCTAAGTTTTATTATTGTACAAAGTCAATTATATTCATCTCTCTCGAGGTTTGGATTCACTATATTCAACGACCATAATTTTTTTCACTTTATCACTTATTTTCCCATTCTGTTAACTTGCCAAGGGTGAAGCCAAACCTCGAGAGAGAATTGAACTAACAACACATGTATAAAGGTAAATGTTGATTGGTGACATCTCTATTTAATATGTTTATAATTGTTTCCGAATAGTTTTCAATTTTTTTAAATATTATTGTTTAGGCATATTTTTGAATGGTGGGCGTGTCAAAGTTCAGGTGGACTTAAAATCCAAACAAGTACAACCTTACCTACTCGAACCGATATGAGGTTTTAAAATCGTGATTGTGCAGGTAAATGTAACAAAGGCATAAGGTTATCTCTAGGTTCTTCTCTATGCCTTGGGGCTCAAGTACTTTAAATAATTTCACCAAATAAAAACTTACGAACGACAATGTGAGGAAAACAACAAGAAAGATAAACAGTAAGTACACTGAATTTGAATCTGAAAAGCAAAGCAAATACTAAACTTAGCATTAAATGAAAATAATAAAAGATCACCGGAGTAATAGACAAGAAAAGTAAAATTGCTCGGAAGCAAGAGACAAGTAAAAATGTTAGATTGGCTTTGTGAAGAGTTTTTGTGATTGATTGTGGGATACTTTCTCAGTAGTCTAGCCTCGACAATGTATAGAGATGGCTCTTAACTATCGATCTATCTTTTTCGGTCATTACTTGTGATCATGGCCTTATCCCTTCAGTTATCTTTTTCGGTCATTTAATTCTGTTGGAAAAGTTCATTCTTCTTGAAGATATGCCAAAAAACATATACATAGTTTCTTAGCCAGAGGGAACAGGGAGCTCACTTTAGTTCATTTGCCAAGGATTTTGCTCACTTGATTGTTTAATGATAATATTTCTAAATGATGGAAGCACACTCTGTCTGATAATTTTAGTTGATCAAAATAATTCCTAGTTTGGTGTCTTTCGTATATAAGTGGCTTTCATAACCATATTTTTCCAAAGAATGAACTAATTTCCAAGGGTAGGAAATCATTCAACAATTTTTGAGGTAAGAATGCCTCCTACATATATTTTTCTTATTGAATTAGAGATGGATTTTTTGAACGTCTTTTCCCTTTGTCTTCTCTGATTGAAAACAACACGTGGTAGTGTGAATGCATGCCCCTGCAAAAAGGAGGTAGATGATTCTTGATAGAGTTTTACTGGGAAAAATAACTACACATATATGTCCAATTTCATTGAAGTCACTCTTTGTTGCATACCGGTTATGGGTATTTTATAACTTTTAAAATCAGTGGTTTGATGAAGTCATTATAGATGTATGAAGTAATTGGATAATCATAAAATTAGTAAAAAAGAAAGAAAGATATGAACACGGATAGCACCAATTAGCATTTGGTTGGTACTTAATGCATTAAGTTTCTTTTTAAGAAATGGCAAGACATACTGGAATTAATGAATTAATATATCAACTATATGAAGTCCTAATTGATTAGTGTTTGTACTTGCACAAAATATGGTCAGCAAGTAGCTATTTTGATCAAAGGAATAAAATTGAATCCATTTAATTCATTTAAATTTTAGCCTCAAAGAAAAATTAATTACCTTGTTGTTGCAAATTATACAACTGAAAATTTTTGCATTTTGTGGGGTGATGTTGGAGATTCTTAAATTGAACAACATGAGTGCATATTGACTCAAAGATGGCTCTCTTTCACCGACTATATACGTCATAGGTTCATAATTTCTCTCTCGTGAACAGGTTACAAACTTTGTATATACCACATATATGGAGTTTTTGTCAAAATTATTTTTTAGTATAAGGACAAAATATGCCATGGGTTCACTATCTTGTTACAAACTTCGTGTATATAGTTATTCTAGAGGATAAAATAACTTTATTTTAGCTTATAATTTTTGTGATTTTCTTGGAAACCTTCATTATTAACTGATTAATTATCAATCTTTACTAAAATTTGGATTTCGAAAAAAATGGTGCAGGTCTTCAATTTACAATATTTAATATGTAAAAGGTTCACGTGTAACGAGTGCATCAACTAGTATATATAGAGATTTTTATTTCTTTCATTCTTAATATTTGTATTAACAACTTTGTAGGTGATATCATTCTTGAACAATATATATCTATGCTACTATAAAATGTCAACAAAAGTGAAAAACTTTTGATTGACTATAATAACCTTAATCAAATAACTAATGTCAATACTATCCTTTTATATAAAATCAATATTAGTGCAATTTATAATTGTGCCTGTTATGTGGACGGTTGGACTGCTATTACTTAACTACTCACACACATATGTATGTATGTATGTATACGTCTACTTATACTACTAATAAATACCGAATTGAATATATTTTATTAGTTGAGTTGATATGGGGAAAGTGAAAAGGTTTTTTTTGTCCACGTGGGGGCTAATTTGGTGAAGTGGGTCTAAATTTTGGAGGTGAATTGAGTTCGTTTTGAGGTAATTTCTTTGATAAATTGAGTTCATTTGATTCATTGGGTTCATATAGTAACAATTTTTTATATTGTTGTATCGTCAATTTAGACTAGGTTGAGCCCTCAGTTGGTAATCATAAGCCTTCTAAGATGTAAAATAAGGAGAAGTGATTCACTAAATCTGTTGATATGCTCCTCACAAGAAGATTGACACGTTGCTCTTATATGTTGTCTCTACTACGTTTTTCATATTGTTCTTGTATCCTTCACATAACATACAAGGTGAAAAACTCTGGCGGGTCTCACTCAAGGCAATCTTGTGTCCGTGCATTAGGAAATTGATAGAACCGTTTGAATGGGTACGGATTTAACAAAACTTCTTTCTATTTGATTAATCTAGTTGTGTTAGGATGTGCGAAATATGGTTTTCATGACAAAACCATTTTCCTTATACCTACACTTCCTAATTTATCTGAATTTGTAACTCATCTTCATAAATATTCATCTTCCATTCATTGCTATAAGCATGATTAAATTGTTGCTTGATGTGAATAAGATCAAAGCAGCCAAAGACATTGTTCTGCACATATTCATTTGTCATATTTATTCCTCTCAATTTTAGTCATCCAAAATTGCTGCAAGAGATGGATCCACTTAACAAAAGTTTCTTGGTGCCTTTTATGCTCTCGTAGGTAAAAAAACGTGATTTTTGGGATTTGAGGCTATAATGGTGTTCCAAATGAAGCATGAAACATGCATTTATTTATTAATTTTGTTGTTCTACCTTGATCATTTCAGTTCCATGGTTGTTGTACAAGTATAAATTGACGATATAAAAACAGTCATGCTTATCTGATATTTGTGGTGGTCCCCAAATTTATTGTTGACCACTCTACCTTTTTGCTAGAGAACTTCACATCCTGTTGTAGTTTAATTTATTAAGATTCAAATTTCCTCACAAATTAGGCATAGATTTTTTGGGGGGCTTGATAGTTTGTGTTATGAAGTGAAATTGTACAACAGCGAACTGGATGCATATTTTTTTTATTCATGCATCCCACTACATTTCCTCTTATGAGTTTTCGTTCATTGTAATATCTTTAAGTCAATCCTTGTAAATGCTTCTTTGATATTAACCGTAATGGATTAATATATCCTAACCATATTGATCGTACTTCCGTATTTCTTAACTATAAACTTTATGTTAGTTTTTTCATTAGCGTCAATGAGTTGGCTTTTGATGAAAAAAATAATGGAAGTTAACAGAAGGACCACATTGCAACATTTTTGATACATTGAAGGTACAATGTAAGAAATTTAATCTTTGAGAGTACACATTGAGAATCTTTGAAGTTGTCCAATCAGGTAGTGTAATTGGTGTATTTTTTTTTACTGTAATTTTTATTGACACTTGAAGGTATTTCATGACATTATTTTTTCATGTAATAGATGAACAATAGCCAGAATGTTAACACTTCGCTGCCAGACTGGGGAATAAGTCGACTTTCTTTACTCACTGAAAGCTGGAATTATATTTGTTCTTAGTTTAAGTCAACAACTTTCACCACTGAAAGCTGGAATTATATTTGTTCTTAGTTTGTTCAAAAGACTAAATTGCACTATGATAAGAAGCAAATGAAAAATCATTAGGATAATACAAAACATGATTGGAAAGTTTGGTATAAGTCGAAAAATGCAGGATTTTTGGCACCTTATAAAGGAGTATGCTATCATGTACCACAATTTCAAAATGTTTGACAACGAAAGGGAGTACGAGAAATGTTTAATTATCATCGTTCATCATTAAGAAATGTGATCGAATGTTGCTTGGGTGTGTGGAAGTCTCATTGGCCAATTCTTATTGCATGGCCCTTTTTTCGTTTGAGACACAAAGGTTGATCATTGTTGCTTCAATGACATTATAGAATTACATAAGACAAGAGATAATAGCTGATGCAGAATTTAGACAGTATGACGAAGACGAAGAATATTTTAGTGACAATGAAGAGAGGGAAATAGATGTGGATGACAATGAGTTTACTGAATTAATAAATGAACAACAACTTGATGGAATGAATATTAGGTGTGATGCACTCGCCAATTCAATAAATCAAGTAAGGGAAAACTAATCAAAGTTTATTTAATAACACTCCCATATTTGGGACATTTTTTTTTTGTTTGCTTATTTCGTTTAGACTATTGCAATTTGTTATTTTTCTTGTAGAGATTTTCTATTTGACCAAATTCTTATAATATTTCATAGTGCCATATGAATGATATTTTTTTTTTATTTATTTTCATTAATGTTCTATTTTTCTCATTTTGCATTGATTTTTTTTTGCAACTTATTTGTTTTATGATGCGCATAATCACTTTAAATTTCAATTCAATCCCAATGTCAACATTGTTTTTCCAACAAGTACAATATTGTTGAATGTGTAATCAACGAAATGCTTAAATGTTGCCACCAACACATCATTTTAATGTCTTAGATGGACTTTTTTGGTTCAAAAGTACTTTTACCAAAAAGTTAGGTATTTCATAAAGCCCATTTTATAAAGTTTATCTTAAAAATGGACTTTTACTTTGAGAAGTTGAAGTTGCTTAGTTGATGTCGTTCGGGACTGACTAATGTTTTTTGTCTTGTATTTTGAATGGCAGGATTGTTTCTCCTCGCAATCAAATCAAAAAATCAGATTGTGCAATTTACCAAAACTATATGTATTTCTTATTCTAATTTTCTTTACTTGCCTTTTAGTTCTTCTCTTATTCGTGGATACCTTGTACTCAAGTTGTAATTGCCCCCATTTTTACCGCCACTTCCCACAACCAGTTCGCATGCTAAGTGCTTCCCCTCCATTTTAAGTTTAGTTGTCAATTTGACCCAAAAAACGCAGTAATCTGATGAGGGAATAAAGCTCTAAACTCATAACATATCTAAATGAAAAAAATTATTTTAAACAACAGAATACAAAAAATATTGAATTTATGCTTACTGAGATATGTAAAACAATTGGATGTGTTAGCACTGTCTCACCTGTATGGGACTACTTGCCTCAGTTGGATGCAATAGATGTAGCTTTTGAAGTCTAATTGATTTTTAGCTTAAGTTGGTGTTGACATTGATCTTTATGTACGGATTTTGAAAGCAGTGCCACTCCAACACAATACGATTATTTTCTATAGAAGCACAATTACTAAAATAATCAATGGGTTGTTTTAAGTTACTCTCATTATTTATGAGATTCAATTGTTATTCATGCAATCATAAAGTAGGCCATTGAATATATAAAAAAATATGTTTAGGTAAAAGAATCCGATCGTTATCGTCTGTATCTTGATTATTTTAAAACGACTAGAAACTTCATTTCCATCGTACCAACTAAAAATTTCATTTTCTTACATTCCAAAGATTATGTTGGATTTTAAAACATCAGTTAGAAGCTACGTTGTAACTCTCTATCTTGATTCATAATGGTATATTTGATAATATAGTTGTCATATAATTTTAATAAAGTTAAAAATATAAAAAAAAAATTATAAGTAAAAATGGTCCATGTTACAACAAATAGTATTAATATGTGAGTGCAACCAATAAAGAGAAAAGATTCTTATCAGATGTTGGCTACAAAAATATGTTGGTTGGATTATTTTGATCATGCTAAAAAATAATAGAATATTATTACTTGTAAAATATCAAAAATATTCTTAATAAAATATGAATAATTTATTGAGAGAGATGAGTTCTTTGGAATAAATGGTAATTAAACATTACATAAAAGTTATGGGATCCATCACGACCAACTTGTCAGCCACTTTCCGCCCAACAATGGAGGAATTAAAAATGATAGACCGGATGAATTTTTTTTCCCTCCGTCTTTCCCTTCTAACCAAACAAAAAAAAATTACATTTTTCATCCAACTCCTCGTTCACCATTTTCCATCCATCCTACTTTCTCTTGTACCAAACAGGCCATTAAAAATTGGAATCATTTTGCTTGTCGTGGGGAAGGTTGCCTCTTCAGTCTCCCCTTGATATTCCATTCAGCTTCACAGCGCTGGCAGGCAGGACCGATATAAATAGATATGCATAAGCTGTTACGTAACAGCCTAGCTGAAAAAATTATTAATTTTTTTTAAAACCTGAAATTAAGCTGAGCCGCTTCTCTCTCTCTCTCTCTCTCTCTCCTGGTTCTTTCAATCCTGAGGTGTATCATCTCATTGTTCGAGTTTACTCGTAATACAGAAACAACTTCGTTTTGGAGTAGAGAGCTTTAGGGTAATTTGCGGCTTTGTTTCTCTCTTAATTGTCTCAGTTGTGAACTCTGTTTGAATTCCAAGTGGGTGATGGAGGATTTGGAAGGAGAGAATAAGAGGGTGGTGGTCATTGGTGGTGGAGTTGCGGGCTCCCTTGTTGCCAAAACTCTCCAAAATTTTGCCCATGTTGTCCTGATTGATTCGTAAGCATTTGTTAATCTCCTCCTTTATTATTGATTTCAGCTGCTTTTGTTTTCTCGATGTGTTCCTAATACAGATGAAAATTCTTCATTAAAGTGAATGCCTGTTTAATGAGGACCTATGATATGATTGCTTCGTGTTGGTTTACTATGACATGGATTGGATTGCTCCCCTGCCAAATGCAAACTTGGCACATAATTCCTGTTCCAATTCATATGTGTTCTACACTATTAAGAAGACATATGTATACTTTATATTGTAATTTTTCAAATTATTAAATTAATGGCTAGCAGTAATTGGTGAACAATCACACTGTTGCAATTGGAATGAATGTACAATATTTGCTGGATTTGTATTGGTATAAAATGAAAAACAAACGAGTAGGCTAAGGAAATGATAGAAGTCACGTGTGATGATAGATAAGAAATGATCATGTGTGCTTGTTCATCTACTGTGTTGTCTCAGAGAAGCAGGTTTTCCAATACCAAGCAGTGCTGTGGATGGTTGATGGTGCTTGCAGCGTGTATATTTGACCTGTCAATATTGTAGGAGTGATGATTTTGGAAGATCATTCATGAAAGATGTTGCTTTGACTGATGGGATGAGATGCGATGGGAAGCGGATTAGGAGCTTAAATAATTATAGACTCAACTCGAATCAAAGGGCAATGAATGTCAGATGGAAAAGTTTGGAAACTCAAAGAGCAGCCTCCTGTGATATTAAGTGAATCGAATTGCTTTCCTTCTATAAGACAATGCATTTAAGTGTTAAACCTCTCCAAAGCTTGATTTACAATTAAAAACAGTTAAACAATGTGTTTTTTTTTTGTTTTGGTGGTCTCTCAAGCTCTATTAATTTGTTTAAATAACCAAAAGTTTGTGATAAAAGATGATGAGCCCTTTACTTGAGATGGTAACTTGGTGTATGGCAGATGAGAATAATGAGGAGAATTCACTTGAGATGGTTTGACAGCATGTGGTAAGGCATCAAGTGAGATGATCAGTATTTTGATCCAAGATGTGCCAACGAGATAAGAGGCCAAAAGGATTGAGGTTGTGAGAAAGGACATAATTCCACTGGATTTAACCAAAGATATGGCTGTGTGAAGAATTGAATAAAAAGATAAATTCATGCAGCCCAACCAAGTAAGTAGTTAATTGTTAGGATTTAGACTTATTGAGTAGCCAAAGCCATGTAGATTATGTTGTTTTCGCTGTTTGGAGTGCAATGGGTTCCGTTATCAGTGCCTTGGTGCCCTGACTGAATTACCATTTTGAACTGGAATAGGCACACATTTGACAAGTTGAAAAGGTCGGTTTTCAACCTGAAGCATATGGTGTCTAATTCCTCTTAAGTGTTAAATTTTAGTTCTTTGATTGTTTATGTTTATCTTGCACATGTTAGGGGGGTGGAGGGCATTTTTTTTAGAAGGGCCTAGTCTTGATTGGCAAATAAATACTCTCGATGTAATATGTTGGGTTGCTAATTTGGGTTGGAAAATTCCTAGTAAAAATTGCTATCTTATAGAATCCAATATGCAACAGTATGATCATTAGCTTGTTCAACTAAGGTGTTACCAAAGAACCCATGCACTGGGTATTAGGGAATATTGGTGATGGTTTGGAAGAAATCACTTTTCAAATCACCGCTAAATAGTTTTGATAAATCAGACTGATGAATAGTTTACAGAAGTTTCTGAAAAGGAGTAGTTAATGATATGGAGCAAAATGCTAGTTCTAATTATTTGCAAGGCCCTGTTGAGTATTAGGTTACTTAAAATTTATGTTCCAAAGGTCTTGGACTATTGGTTTAGTTTGTGGAGGTCAGGCAAAATAACAAGGTATATCGGAATCAACTCATTGGCGAAGTAGTAAGGTTGCTGAACTTATGATGATCAGATTTGAGGCAATGATAATACCCCTATTGTAGCCTTTGCTTCAATAATATTTGGCTAGGCTCGGGGATACTGTAGTGGAAGGGTGGTATCCAATGTTCCATAAGAGATGAATGGTTGCCTTAACATTTCAAAGTAGTAGCATTACTAGCATGTCATATTGGACGAATCCATCAAGGAAAGTGACTAATACTTCAACGGTGTTATAGTTTTTGAATTTTGTCGATTCAAGGAAACCCAAAGTGGACACAAACTGGAATATAACGTGAGGTGTCCTATTGTCCCTCGTGACTCCTGTTTAGTATTGAACTTCTACTTCAAATGCAATAAATATTGTAGGTTATCCATTCAAATCCAAGAGATGTCCATATGCACCATAGATAGATGTCTCTTGTAGTGGAGAATTAAGGGCAGTTTGCTTCCTAGAGAATATTTTTATAGGACCCTGGGGTTTACTGTATGCAAACTGCTGAAGGTTTTGTTATGAGTTCTTCAGATCTCTAGGAAGAGAAATGGTGATATATTTTTGCACAGGAGTTTCTTTTGTTCTGCGTAGCTCATTTTTTTTTTAGTTTGATTTAGGATGGGTTGTTCTCTGTTTTGCTGATCTTGGCAGAAGTCACTTGAATGCTGTTGGGTGTGGGAATGTAAAGGAAAAGGTAAAAAAATATTCTTAAATTAGTTTGCGGTTTTTTCTCCCCAATTTGTAGTAAAGGAAAAGCTGGGATGGAACATCCTTCTCAGTCTTTTTTTTCCTTCTTGTCATATTGGAGGGATGAGGGGTGGAACAAGAGAGGCAAGGGAGAGGTGGGATGATAGATAAGCTAGTTTCAATGAGCAACTTCATAATTTCCTTGTGTTGTTCCTCATTTGCAATGTACACCAATACAAATGTGAAAGGACCTCGGATATTGAGCTTCCTTTTAGCCGTTGGATTCTTTCCAATTTCTTTCCATATTCTGTCTACTTTGACTAATGAAAACCGTAAATGACCACAGGAAAGAGTATTTTGAGATTACATGGGCAAGCTTGAGATCAATGGTTGAACCATCATTTGCTGAAAGATCAGTGATTAACCATGCTGAATACCTTCCAAACACACATGTTATTGTGTCTACTGCAATTGACATAACAGACAATGAAGTATTGACTGCACAAGGCTGTATAACTGCATATGACTATCTTGTAGTTGCTACAGGTCACAAGGATACTGGTGCCCTTACAAAAACTGAGAAGCTTAGGGAGTACCAAGCAGGTAATTACATGGATTGCATGATCATGATTTTAAACTTCTAGGTTTGTACTAATGAACTAAGTGCTTGATCCATTATTTTTTTTTTTAGATTCACCTATCAGATGCATTGAGCCTAAAATTCTAATTTGTCCGCAAGATATTACATTTTAATATTTTGTTGAAGAATGGTTTTTTCCAATTTGTGATAATGAAATAACAATGACATTTTAGCCACATGTTGCATGGATATAGACCCCCCAAACTTTAACAGAGAAGCTCAGTTACTACCATGCTGATAAATGTACAAAGAGATATTTCACTAGGAAAGCTAACAGCGTTAACAATATAGCCTGGAGTAAATCCATTGAAGTTGTTGATTACAATTTCTGATTCTCATGGGAAAACAGTTTTGACCTTTAGTCTATTAATGGTTTGAAGGTTGCTCTCCTAAGTTGAATAACTTTAAGAGATTTGAAGATCCAAAAATATATCAAAATTCTACAGAGAAAATCACATATCGATGATAGTAAGACTAGAAAACCCATTTGGATGGCATTTTACTCTCATATGCAATCAATCATTTGAACTAAGATGTATGATGTGTTGTCAAGTCGCTGTTTTATTTCAATCACCTGAATTAATGCCATTTCAGAAATGCTTTCACATCTGCTCATCCACAACCTTTTTCAAGTTTTAGTTTTAAATTACCATCAGAATAACCTTGGCAGCTGTATTTTTAATTTGTGCATCAACTTGAATCCTACTTTTTTTTTCCAGAGCATGCAAGGATAAAATCTGCTAATTCCATATTGATTGTTGGTGGGGGCCCCACTGGTGTAGAATTGGCTGGTGAAATTGCTGTGGATTTCCCTGAAAAAAGAGTCACACTGGTGCATAGAGGATCAAGGTTGCTAGAATTTGTTGGACATAGGGCTAGCAGAAAGGCACTGTATTGGTTGACATCAAGGAAGGTTGAAGTCATTTTAGGACAGTCTGTTGACATAACCACTGCCTCAGATGGTGTTTATCTAACATCTGGCGGAGAGACAATCACAGCTGATTGCCATTTTAAGTGCACAGGCAAGCCAATGGGCTCATCATGGCTTAAGGAGACTATTTTGGAGAATAGCTTGGATAGTCATGGAAGGTTAATGGTTGATGCAAACTTGAGGGTCAAGGGTCACAAGAATGTCTTTGGTATTGGCGACATCACTGATGTTCCTGTAAGTACATCCAATCTTTTGTGCTGTAGTTTTGATTTTTCGTCATTTAGTAGTCTGTTATATGATCGTTTTACTTATTTTTTATTGAAATATATATTTGGTGGTCCAGATGGTTGCTGGTACATATTTGTACATAGAAATGTTTTCTTCGGCGGAGGAATACCGATAAGGACATAGATACAAATAATTGTTATCACCCTATTTTTGTCAAAAGCAATCATATCCCACTTCTGTTAGCCTCCTCCACTCCCATCTTGACACCACACTTCTTAGAGAAGAGATTGAATCCCACTTCTGTGAATCTACTATCCTCCCTCCTAACCATAGTCACCATCTGAATATAGGTAAGGGTGCAACTTGGGCGGGTCAACTCGAGCCCAATCCGAAAAAAACAGGGTTTTGGTTAGAATTTTTAATATTTGGGTTGTGTCTAGGCAAAAAAAACTCCAATCCGAATTGAATTTGGGCAAGCCTCGGGTTATAGGGTTTAACCCGAATATTAAAATAGGGTCGAACCCGATTATTAAATCGGGTTGTACCCGAATATACATAAATATATAAATATATTTAATTAGGATTAGTATTTCACTTCAATTCTTCACCCCTGCGTCTCCATCACTCTCAAATCCTTCTCTCATTCGTAACTCCTTTCTCTCTCAACCTCCTTCTCTTAATCGTCACTCGTCTGAGTCGTATCAGACTCTCAGCCTCACTCTCTCACTCGTCATTCCTCCTTCTCTCATTCCCTCTTTCTTCATCTACACCTCGTCATTCATCTCCGATTACTTGAAAAATTCAGATCTTTACTTGAAAAAATCAAATCTACACTTCAAAAAATTAACCCGAATTAAGTAACCTGAGTCAATCCGATTTTTAACCCGAAATCAGCCCAAATTAAGTAACCCGAATTCAACCCGAGCTCGCCCGAATTAAACTTAGGTAGTACTCGGGTTGAGGTAGAATTAGGGTTGAAGATTATATATCTAGGGTTAGGCTAGGGTTGATCTCTCAACCCACCCGAGTTGCACCCCTAAATATAGGTATGCTTAGATCTTCACTTGTTAATGGTTTTCATGAGAGCACATCTCTTTCATGGTAATTGTTCAGTTCTCCGTCTATTGTAATTAGGTCTGTCAATAAATCGGATTTTGAATCCGATTATCCGAATTTGAATTTATATGTTTTACCGATAATCTGTATCCGATATCTTATATCTTATAGATTCGGATTTGGATATAACTATATCCGATCCGAATTATTTATATATTTTTATATAAATATTAAAGAAATTAATTGATTATTTAAAGAAATTTAGTTGAAATTTAGGAATAATTTGTTAAAATTTAGTTAATTAAGTTATTTGGATTGGATTGAATTTTCAAATTGCTAACGGATTAAAATATGGACCATGAAAATAAAATTCTGCGGATTATCGAATTAGACTTTTGAAATCGGATTTGGATTCGGACGAGTCAGAATCCGATTCAAAACCAATCCGTTGACATACCTACTTGTAATATTTCTTGGGTCTAGTAAATGATTTGTCTAGAAGATTCCATTAAGAAATTAGCTATTGGATACATGTGCAAGTTGTCATTTTCTGTCCATATGATCAGATGTGAAATTTTTGAAGGGTTCGGAAAATAAATTTTGAATTTTGTAAAGCTGCTTTCAGTCAAAGATGCCAAGCAATCCATTTTACTTGGATGTGCCAGCATAACATACCACTTACCATTTTCTAGTGCTCAATTAATTAAGAGGGTGAGGGTCTTTTCCACTTTTACCTTAGAACAAAGCACTGTTGATTTGCAAGATCAATAATAAGGTACTTGAAATTAAGGGAATCGGAGTTATTCTCTAGAAATGCTGAATGATAATTTCTGTTTGATTTGATTCTCGAAAGGACATTGCATTGATGTTCCCACCTTTTCACTAGTTAGTGAGCTCATTCCTTATTCAAAAACAAGTTTTGCTGCGAGAGGATTATCTATTGTAAATCCTTATGTTGATTAGTTTCTCTAGTAATAAGTGCCATGTTACTTAAGTGCGTTGCTATATCTATAGTCATGTGCTTTTCTTTGCGAGAGAGTTTCTTACTATATGATGACCTTATTCAGGAAACCAAACAGGGATATTTGGCAGAAAGGCATGCCTTGGTGGTTGCCAAGAATTTGAAGTTGCTGATAATGGGAGGACAAGAGAGCGGAATGGCTATTTATAGGCCCGCTCCTCCGATGGCCATTGTTTCACTCGGGAGGAGAGATGCAGTGGCGCAAATTTTCTGTATAACAATAAGTGGACGCATTCCTGGCATGGTAAAGTCCAAGGACTTGTTTGTGGGGAAGACAAGGAAGCAACTTGGGTTAAAATCTAATCTCGGGTAGGCTAACATGTGAGATGAATTGCTCTTTTTTTATTCTCCGCCTTCCCCATGTTTCTAAGCAAAAAAGAAAAAGAAAACTTAATAGATTGAGTTATTACATTATAGTAGTTGATTTAGAATTGCAAAATTTAGCACCGAAGGTGCATCGAATGAAAATTCAAGGTTTGTATGAATTAGACAACTGTTCTTTGCTTTATTATGTAGGTTTCTATTTTATAATGTAACTACTTGTTGGCGGACCTTACCCAGTGGTAATTTTTTTTTTGGAAAGGTACCCAATGATAAATCTATTCCATTTTAAATTGGACATTACAGATTTGAGTCACCGAAACACGTCCGCCGCATAAGGAGGTAAGGCGATGCAAATTTGATTATCTCCGGGTTCCATAATTGAGGGGGCTTCATGTCCTAAACTATTCTATTTTAGCTACTTGGGCATTTTTAGAAGAATTTATGATTCAATTGCTTGCATATTAGGTTGCGTTTGATTAGGGAGAAAATGATGATAGATAGTGAAAATACTATAAAATTGAAATAAAAAAAAAGAAAAAGAAAAGAAAATTAACATTCTCATGCCTAGTTGGTTAGAGTGACAAATTAAAAGGAAAATAGCGAGAATTTTTTATATTGTTGTTTGAAGAGGGTGAAAGTCAAAGAAAAAAGTTTTATTTTAGCAAAAATTTGTCGGTCATTCTTTTAAGTCGTTAATTGAACAACGTATTTTTAAGGCGATATGAATATGTCTAAATTTTATTTATTTATTTATTTTTATCCTCGAGTCTTATCTAACTAAATTATTTTTTCAAATTACTAGAAGACTTGATTTCATCACATTAGTTTCCTTCTTTTTAAGAAATCTTCTCTCTTCTCCCCACTCTCTCTCTTCTTTTTTTTCTCCTCTCTCTCTTTGAGATCTCAGAATGTAGATGCTGTTGATTCCTGCCCATTATTGGCTTTTTCGTTCTCGTTATGGATCAAAACCACGCTAATTCGAGGTCCACCACTTCTCGTTCTCGCTATGGATCAGAAATATGCTCATCAATAATTCCATAGATATGCAAATCTCCATTACCATTTCAATATATTGAGCAAAAACCCAAACGACATAAGCCAAGTAGGAACAAGAATGGAAATAGAAGCAAAAGGCGAAGGCGAAGGCGAACTGGAAGTCGAACTCACTGTACTACTTGCTTGCTGACAAAACTGTATGGCGAATTCACTGTTCAGCTTCCTTGATGTAATACCCAGCTTGCTATGGTGGACAAATTCATGGGGATGAATTCCATGACAGACTCATTTGTGGTAGATGTCGTTGCCACACCAACATTCCATTGTCTATCTTCGATGTAATCTTTACTGGTTTTGTCATAAACTTTGATTTTGTGTTTGAGACAAGTTTGATTGGTTTTATTTTTGTGATAATAAAATGGGTGAATTGCAAATCACACCCCTAAAGTATTGATGCGATTTTTATTTGGTCCTTGGAGTTTCAATTTAATCCTTGAAGTTCCGTTCATATTCATCACAAACACCAAACGATTTGTCAAATTTCGAGGGGAATTTTGTCTAACTTTCCCATTGCTTCATAAAAAAAGCATAGAAATATTGAAAATGCCTAAATCTGAGTTAATAATAAATTTATTAATAATTTATTAAATTTTGTAATAAATTAATTTATTAATAAATTTTATCAGATTTGAACCCAAATCTAAGGTCAACTCATTTATAATAAATTATTAATAAAGAAATAAGCAATTAATAAAAATTTATCAATATTCACATATATATAAACATGATATTATACATCTGAAATATTTTGTAACAAATATTAAACAAAACAAAATAAAATAAATTATTAATTATCACTACCCAAAATTAAATATTTATAAATTTTAATTATAATTGACCTTTTATTAATTTTATAAATTTATTATCACTGCCAGTGCCCAAATTTATTAATAATTTATTTTAAATGAGTTAACAAAATACTCCATTACTCGTCGGATATAAGTTAAGGATAAAAATCACTAATATAACTATGGTTAGAGTGGTAGATGAATGTAATGGAAAAGTTAGACGAAAATATCATTCTATGGATAGAAGTCTCTCATGAAAATAAAATCAATAGTTTAAGGATTAAATTGAGCAAATCGAAACTCCATGGACTAAATAAGAACCACATCAATACTTTAAGGGGTGTAATTTGCAATGCACCCTAATAAAATTGGAGCAATGCTATTAGAAAATAATTTGAGGATGCAATTTTAAGACTTAATGATTGTGATCACTAATTATCAGTGAGTCTCAATATTAAATTATCAGTGGGTCCCAACTACTATCAATCTAATGATCACGATATATCAAGTTCTCAAATTATGTTTTAATAGCAGTAATGATAAAATTGATGCATTGGTGTGGGTACTTTAGTGTCTAGAACATTCACTATCAAGTGATTTCTTCCCTTTTTTTAAGTGCTGGACAGCTTTTTCACATGGATTAAGTTTAATTCACTACATGGATGGTGTAATCTAAATCATAAAATGAGTTATTTCACCATCCCAGTCAGTTGAAAAAGGTAAGTTTCATTGACCCAATAATGAAATAGGTCTATTTAGAGTGAAATAGGCCTATTTCAAAGTTCATACAATAAAAACGCTTAATTTTACTGTTATAATGAAATTGGATAGAGAATTTTCCCACTCATGGACTAATTTCACTGTCCAATTGCAAAAATTTTTTTATCTCACTATCACAATTTGGACACTAAAGTATACCCCATTTCAATATCATACTAAAATTGTATAGCAAATTTTTACACTACTATGTTGATTTTAGTCACTGTTCGGATTGTAAAATAAGACATTGAATTTTCACACATATACCTATTTCACTAATTGCAATGAAATTCTTATTTCACAACCATAGTTCGGACAATAAAATATGCTAACTTTTAATATTTTGGGCATGTGTTTACTGTCCAATTTTGGCAGTGATACTGAAATTTAATATAATCAACTCTATTAATTAAGCAAAAATCATTCTCAATTGCAACTAAAATCCCTTAACTTTGTTTTCAAATTAAGACCAGATCTCACTAATCCCATTATTCCATAGAAAGAGACAATGTGATGGAGGAGAGAGAGAGGAGAAATAGAGCATATAGAGAAACATTAGATAGAGATATGGAGAAGAGGAAAAAAGATAAATATATAAGAGAAACATAAGAGATATGAATTTAAGGAAAAGAGAGAGAAGAGAGAGGAATTTAAGAAGATAGAAAAGAGAGAGAGTTGGATGAGACATACAGGGGGGAGAGAGAGAGAGAGAGAGAGAGAGAGAGAGAGAGAAATTTAAGGATGAGATAGGAGATGGAGGAATTTAAGGAAGAGAGGATGGAGAGAGTGGGGTGGAAGGAAGAGCAATTTATAAAAAGAACAGAGAGATAAAAATGGGATGACTGGGAAGGAGAGAGATCTCTTGGGGATAGAGAAGGAGAGAGAAATTTGAGGAAGAGAGAATGAGACATACGACATAGAAGAGCGAATGCCTTTGAATAGCTCAAGAGCCATCCTTGTGGAGAACACTTCATAGCTCGGCCATTGTCGTCCTCTCGGTGGTTGCAATAAATCTATATCATACTCTCTATAGCATGGCCACGTGAACTTATTAGGCTGATCTTAGTGCTCTCGCTTGGGCAGTGGCCACTCATCTGGCTGCTCCTAATGGATACCCTTGTAACGCCATCTCTTTTGTGGACTTTGGGGCAATTTTTCTCATTCCTCCTCGTCCAGAACGATTCTATAAAAGGCTTTGCATATAAACCATTCTTGGCCGTATCGAGCTATTCTTGGAGACCTGGCGATGTATACAACTTTCCCTCAAAGTCCTCCTTTGTCAACTCATCCTTGGGAGTGTTGTCTTTCTCTCCCCTTGGCTTCTTGTCACTAGTCGACCTGTCCTTATCTAAGTTTATTATTTTTTTTGCAGGGTCTTTGACTACCCCATTTCCACTATGTTAATAGTAACTGTTTTCTGCAAAGAGTCCTTATCAACCCCCATCTCCGACTTCCCCTTGTTTCCGAAGATCAAATGGCCTTCAATCTGGCCATCTTGAATGGCATTTCGAAACACCACACAGTTATTAGTCAAATGGCTCCATAGATTGTATCATTTGCAGTGCGTCTTGTTCTTCGACTTCGTGGCCGATGAGATCTTATGATCAAACAACAGAATAATACTATCGTCCGCTAACAAATGGTCAAAGATTTGATCATCCTTTGAGATGTCAAACTCATATTTTTGGCCATTTCCTTTGTTGTCTCCTTAATTAGCACTTGGCGTAGGCTTTGTTTGTTTCGTCGTGGGCCTAGTTAAGGACTTGCACCCATGCGGCCATTTGACCACGATTTCTGCTATGTTCACTTCCAACTCCTAGTCTAGCTCGACTATGAATATTTTTCTGTATTGGGATCCCTAGAGTACGTACCTTTAGACGCATTTCTTTGGTTCAATTGCTCTCGTAGGATTTGCTCATATCGTGTTGCCCGCATTGTAAATTTGAATAGGTCATTGAACTCCATCCCCTCAAAAACTTTTTGGAGCTCGAAACCCATATTGTTCTGCGTAATGCACACATACTCCATGTCAGGCAACGCCAACCTACATCGGTTCCTTGCCTTCTTGAACTACGTGATGTATTGTTCTATCGTCTCTCTGGTCATCTAATACAACTTGGCCAAGTCAGTCATAGCTACTTTTGGCTTAGTATGGTAAAACTGAGCATGAAAATTATCATCAAGTTACTGTCAACCTAGTACAGAGATGGGCAGCAAATCAATATACCATCTGAAAGGCGTTCCCGTAAGGGAATTGACGAACAACTGGAACTTCAAAAATTCATTGTCCCCTACTTCATCGCATTGCATAGTGAAACAACCAATGTGCTCCATGGTCAACTAACCGTCTTCTCTTGAAAAAGTAGCTAATACTGGGACCTTGTATTCCTAATGATACTTGTATTCTCTATCCACCTAGTTAAGATATGATTTTCGATATGTTAGTTACTTGCATTATCACGAAGCCGATTTACTCCTGGATTAGTTCGTCTAGTTGGTCTCTATTCATGACCACTTGGGGTGCCACTAGAAGAACGATTGAAGGCTACCTCCTTTGCTCCCTGAACTCAGGATTGGGGCCCACTTTCTCCTAAAAAAGAGGATTGTTATTGGACCGATGACCATTTTT